TAGCTTTTCAGTTTAAAGAAAAAATAAACTAAAATCAACAATTCTCCACTTAAATGCCCTTATCTCAAAAACTGGTCATAATATCAAATTTAAAATTATATCTCTTAAATCGGTGTTAAAATTATCATATACTTAGAAAATAGCTACATTTGACTTGGGAAATTTTAGAATACAAGGTGTTCGTGGTGTTTTTGTACTTTTATTAAAATAAAATATCTTCTAACAAATAAACCGCCTTGTATATTTTGAAGCTTAGAGGTACACATATTTTAGTGGCATTACCTTTTCCACAAATCAATCAATAAGTACAGAAGGCTTTGAATTAGTCAAATAATTTTATGTGGTTTTCACTACAAAACATCCTGTATAAGAAATGTGTACTGTGCATTATACCAAAATACCATATTGAATAGTACTATTTGAAAATATGCTTCCCTGACGTCACAGTAGAATTTGTGAGATTTTGCAAAAAACTACCGTCATCACACATTTGTGAATCACCCTGTAATTAAAAATATTTTTAATTATATCTATATAATACTGTATTACTAAAACATGTATTAAACGTGTGTTTGCAATAGAAATTCAGTCTAGCTCGTAAGTTGGAAAATAAAAATTCAGAAAACTGGGCAATTTTTAACTTTAACGTATATCGTACAAAAACGATAATTTTCGTAAGTCTGGCAAAGCTGCTCTCATCATTCATATGAGTTCGGCCAAATAATGAGATAGTACTCCCCTACTCTCCTACTCGCATAGTTAGAAGAATACGACCCCAGAGAGCTCTCCTTAATTGATGAATTTTAATATAGGAACAGGAACCCATAAAGGACTTGATTATCGAGATAATAGTTTGAAATTTAATTTCAAAAGTTGATGACCAATATGCTCTTGAGTAATATTTTGACAAACTTTTGAGATATTTAACCAGTGGCGCGCTATCAGGTTGAGTGACAACTTTTTCCACAATTTTTTACGTAACTAGAACAAATATTTTTTTATTTTTTTTATTATGTGTTAATTTCCACTTAAAAAAGTATTAATCTTTTATGGAGTTAAAATAAATGGTGCTGTATAAATTTGCTTCTGAACAAAAGTTTGCATGTACTTAGATCATTTGTAACTACTCAATATTTCTAAATCGTAATCTAGTAAGCACGTGTCAAGTTTTTAAGTTTATGTATTTGACGAGATATTATTGGTAAATCAATTTTGAAAAAAATATTAAAGACGTTTATGAATTATGGTAAATTTTCACTTTTGATTTATAATCTTTAACACTCTGTATCTCGGTAACTTAGCCATTTACGGGTTAATGTTCCTATATCCGAAGGCATCAATTAACGTATATTAAAAATTATATATTTAATTTTGCCAAGTATAAGTCCAGAAAACTGAATAGACATTTGATCTGGCAATGACTTCCAAATCGGACGTATATTTCTTGTCTGCGTGCAATTTTTTAAGTTAGGAAATAAACTGAAAAATGAAGGGGCTAAATCTAGCGAGTAGATTGCATGGGACAGTTATTCAAACCACAGTTCATTAATTATAGCCATCGCAATAATGGAATTGTGACATGGCGCATTGGTCTGATAGAACATAACTTGTTTTTTTGATAATCCAAATCTTTTCTTTTCTCCAGAATGTTCTGTTGCAGCATATCAAGAAATAAATTAGCATATTGTATATTTATTGTTTTACCCTTTTTAAATTAGTCAATAAAAATAATGCATTTTGAACAGGGGCGACGCGTTTTTTTAGAGATTTCACTAGAAAGGATCTAAGTTTTTGCTGCTTGAGGACCTTCTGTTTTTTTTACAAATGTGATGAAAAACTTTTCTTCATAAAACAAATAAGTTTCCCATATGGTGCCGACTTAAGTAGACACATTGTATTACAAATCAATATCTTCTATAGTCAAACCACTACATTCTTATTTTTGGCCAATAATATTACATGAAAATTCTGGAAGAGTCAACATGTTAAATATATCTTTTTATAACGTAGTTTCTCTTAAACTAGTCGCAACAGCAAAAGTTGATTCATCTGTAAAATAGCTTTCCACTAATAACACATTTTTTTTTTATTGACTACTATCTTCACTGATCACCTCAGATTTAGATGGTCGATCTTTTTTCTGAGGGATTTTGAGAGATATAGATTCCACAAACGGAATAAGCTATTTATAATGTCGCATGAGAAACTTTTGTATCGATTGACTGCAATTTTTCCATTTGTCAGCAAATTTTCTCATGTTAACTCATTTGAAATTCCTCCATAACATAATCTAAAACTGCAGCGATTTTATTTTCACATTACTTTATTTGACGCCGGGTTTCAAAAAGTTCCCTCCTTGTTAAGGACATAGTAAATAAAAAATATTAATATGTTAATTGGTTGCAAATTGGTGCAACAAAAATATTTGTACCGAGATTAAAAATAAATAGTAGACTATAAAAAAAAAATAAATCAAAGCAGATCCATCCAGATCTGTGAAGTGCGCATTATTGGACGACTAGAGTTGTGTATGTGTGAGAGAGAGAATGGGATTAGACTAAGTCTGTTTGCCTCAAAATGAGGAATATACTCGTATATACAAAAACTTTAATGAAATGATTGGTAAAACCGAATTATATTAGTAGGTTAATTGATGATAGGAACTTTGTGAAACATGTATAAATTGATTTATTTTCAAGAGCAAGTAGGTATGTAATATTATAGGGCGGGAATATATTCATATTAATGAGCATTTTATACAATTGAATAATTGCATTATAATTGTTTGAACAATTGAATAAAATTGATTAAGATCTGAAGTGGAGGAACTATTACATGTACATATTAGGGGAATCCAGTAGGCCAATTTTAAAAAGATGGACAGGGAAGCGCCCATGGTTAAATTTCAACCTTGTAATGTTCCCAGACTGGAATTTATTTAATCCAAATATATCAATGTGCGGAATTACCCTAGAGTTCATATGTATATTTTCAGAAAACAGAGTGAGTTTTATAATGAAGTTTTAATTTTTTATATATTTATACAGGGTGTTTCAGAATAAAGTACCGTAATTTTGGGGATTTGTAGATCTTAATCAATTATAAAGAAAAGCTAACGTCCCAGTTTTCATTATACAGGGTGATAAAGTGGATTTCATAAATACATATTTTCTAACTATCTTCCTTACAGAAAAGACTTTAACTTAAAAATATGTATATGATAGTTAATCGTTATTATTAGTTAACACACTATTTCGATAAATTACCATAACCCATTGGTGTAGAATGAAGGTCTTAAGAAGCAACATATATTTCATAAAATTTAAGATTAATAAATATTTCTCACGCCATTTGTCACAAAAAAGGGACTTCTGGTTGATGTTTGTAGATCTTTTCATTTCCGAGGTGATAAAACTGATTTATTTTATACAGAGTGTTTTGAAAACATGTCCTAAATATGGCTAATTTTAAGTTCAATTTACTCAATTTTGTCAAATGCAACACACTGTATATCATTTTCACATGAAATTCCTTATAAATTTACCTATCCAACGATACCAACATTTCACAATAGTGCTTAATTGATCGATAGCTGTTTTATTTTTGGAAATAGGACAAAAAAATTAATATAAAAGTTGTATGACCATGTTTAGTGAATGTTCTTAAATATATAGGGTGGTCCATAAACATAAAATATGGTCATACAACTTTTATATTAAACATTTCTTCGTATTTCTAATAATAAAACAGCTATCTATCAATTACGCACTGATGAGACACCCTGTATATGTGTTATTGACTAACACATTGGTATTGTTACTTAGGCAAATTTATAGGGAATTTTATACCAATACACAATGTGTTGCGTTTGAAAAAATTGAGTAAATTGAACTTAAAATTAGTCATATTTAAGACATGTTTCAAACCACTCTGTATAGAATTAACCAGTTGTATCACCTCTATTCATTAGCTTAGTATTTTATAAGTCTGTATATTAAACAATTTTGAAAATAATGTAAATCTACCTAAATTATGATAATTTAATTTGTGGTCTGCATCATTCTTTAATTAAAAAAAAAATTAATTGTTTGGCAACACTATAATATTTTTTAGAAACATTCTAGGGTTAAATACAGTATTCCCAAGCCATTCTAAAAATAAAATCTAGGGTGTTCTATTTAAAAAATATACATTATTATTTGTCAGGCAAAAACGAAACACCCTGTATATCCAAAAATATTTTTAAAATATGTATTTTTCAGATCCATATAACTTTTATTAAAACTTTTTTGCCTTGTCAATAACACAAATTTAAATATTGAACAATTACGCACTAATGGGACCCTGCATATAAATTTTAATTTGTAATTTACAGGAATATTATTATTTTAGATGACAAACCACCGTTACCCACCATATTTATAAAGAACCAAATAACAAATTTTAAACTAAAATGCGTTAAAATGATAACATACCTCTCAGAAATAACTCCAATAAAGTATTTCAATACACAAAAATTAGAAGAACATAATGCCACATTTGAAAACATGAGTATAAATCAGATATAACAGTCTAGGCTTATGATCGAGACGTTTTCACGGAAGAAGCTGAAGAGCAGAAAGTTTGTTAACTGCCATTAAGTAGTCAGGGATACTCAAGGACTTACTTTATTTGAAAATTAATCGTTCTGAAAAGTATTTAATTTATAATTAATATTTCCCAAAATTGCTAATTGTCCCACTGTGCGACTGTCTAAATCGTGAATCTCTAGTCTGTTACCTTCTTGTGAATTTATTTTGCTAGAGTATTCTAAAAAAGGCCCATCTGTATTCGTTGTTTTCAATTTTTTTTCTTTCTTTGTCGATGCTTATAAGTACTTTTATGTGGACTGGTAAATGTAGCATTTCTTTGGACTCAAACAGTCTTCAGTCCTATTGACGATTAGATAACCAAACTATTTTTAGTTTAATAAATCAACAATGAAACTAAAAGTTTATTAGAGGCATTCAATCATAACACAAGTATTAGAAATTAAAAAATTAAAAAAACCGACTTCAAAAACGTGCAGATGCCATCACCACATCTTAATTAAATTTATATGGGACCACCCCTGAGGTACCCAATTACTAACAAAAAAAGAATCATATAAATCGGACAAGGTGGTAAAGCATTATCGCTAAACATACATAAAAAATTAAGAGTTTGAGGATTGTCTCATGGACCCAATTATTAGATGTTGACCAAATTTATATGGGACCACCCCTGAAGTACCCCTTTTCTAATAAAAAAAATGTATTAAAATGGGATATCGTGTTAAAGAATTATCGCTGAACATACATAAAAAAAAATTAAAAAAAAATATTGCGACGAATTGAGAACCTCCTCCTTTTTTGAAGTCGGTTAAAAATAAGTAAATATTAGAAAACCAAATTTACGTAACATGTAAGTAACGAACCACATTCGTCTCAAGATCTATATATCAAATTCTACATATCAAATACAGACTCCATGTATAACTCTGGTTTGTCGTAACCCAAATCTTCCGGAAACTCAACTCCCAGCTCTTTCGCTGTACCTTTTACTTCTTGAACTATATATGGCCAAATGGTTTTTCTATTATTTCCGCATTTATGCTTGACCATCTCCAGAAATCTGATCGCCATGGCGTAGTCGTTGAGACGCCGACACGCCTTCAAACCTGCAATGACTATTCTTGGTTCTGGAACCGAATCGTATCCAGTAAGATCATTCATAGCTTGTCGGATATCCCATCCATCGGCACCTTCTTGCGAGAAAAGGCATTCATATCTAAAAACGAATATATAAACTGGGATCATTTCATAATAATTAGATTTACGCACATGTCATATATTCTGTAAGTTAAGAATTTTGATATTTCATTTATACGCGCAGAGTTTGGACAAATTAAATTCCTAAAAGAACTTCTTCAGAGAATTGAAGAAAATAACCCACTTGTGATTAAAAAATTTATGTGTTCGATTGCCTGAAACCGACCCTGTTTTTTGTTTACCTTTACTGCGTCGTTGAGTCTCGGACCCGCTGGCGAACGACGAGATTCTCTGAACTTACCTATAATAGTCTGACGCGTGGAGGAATTTCTGGACTAATATTGAGCTTCTAGTCAAGATTTGATCTTTCTAGACTACTGCTACATTTTTGTATAAATAGCGCGACTTTGTCAATAGAAGTTTAAGTTTGAATATAAATGTTGTAAAGTAAAGATGAATTTTTAAAACAAATTAGAAGTGTGAATTATAATAGTGCTTAAGTATAAATAAATAAACTGTTTTAAAGAAATAAAATATTTTTAAATTAAAGAATCTTTACAATATATATTTTAAAAAGACTAAGAAAGTGAACTCATTGAAATGTGGTCATTTTGAATAGTAATTGTTATAGATTGTTCTATCCTAATAATTAGGTCTTTTATCTATTGTTATACATATATACCTACACATGCAGTTTTTTTACTATTGTTAATAAGTTTTCCTTTAGTAATTAGTTATAAGTGTGTGTTCAAGGCAAACTTTAAAATGCTAAAATACCAAATTTCCTTTAAATTGAAAACGACGATATCCTACAAGAAACGCATGACAAGTGTACCAAACGTCAAAAAAATATACTGGGTTATTCCCAAATTATGAATAAGGAAAGAAATGGACAGCATTGATATCGCGGTTATGATATTTTTAATAAATGATTTTAGTAATTATAAGTTTTGACCTAGACTTAGACTAAAACTGATTCTCAAAAGTGCATGTTGATTTGACGAAATCTAATTAACAAGTAATTTTAATTTTAGTCTTTAATTTGTATAACGGTAAAACATACGAAGTCTTGTTTCCAAGTTTTAATTGGATGAAAGCTTGATGACTGACCTTTTTTATTAACTAATTCAACCCCTTACAGCGTTAGTGATTTTTATATAATTTATGACCTCACTTGGTCTTTCTTAAACTATACAACGAACTTTACCAAGTGTTGTTCTAAGCACGTTTAATATAATACATTGTTGACACATAAACGCGCGAAGTCCTATGATTTTCCCGCATTTGCTTTATTTTTACATTATAAATAAAATTTATTTTTAATTTCTTTACTTTATTTCATATTTCCAAACATAAACCAAACGAACAATTCGAGAGACGCTAAAATGGTGGTTCCCACATTATCGACACTGAGGCCCACAAGGGTAAACTCATAGCGTAACAAAAACGAGTAATGATTTAACGTGGAACGAAAAACCGAAAGCCGATAGTAGTATTAGAACGTTGAATTTTTTGGTTTGTGAAGCTAGGTATTACTAAGGTTAAACCGTGTGATGATTTTCACAAGCCTGGATTTTTAAAACCATTCTATATCGTCTTTTGATTAGGGTTTAAAAACTTGTTCGAGCAATTTATTCAATAATTGGCCCCTTTACCTCTTAAGCCTGCTCATGTAAAATATTTGGGCTCCTTACTTCGCTTATTTAGATTCTATTAATAAAGAACAGAAGGATGAGTATTGCAACTATCTTAAAAGAAATAAATTGGCTTTCAGTTCAGAATTATGTTCAGTACATGACTGATATTTATATATAAAATAAAAATGACATAGTACCATCGCATCAGATCTATTAGAAAAAATTCAATATAATTCGCAATATCACAACTATAATACAAGAAGTCAATCTGACTTTCATGTACGGCAAGCCATCACTAAAAGTTCCCAAAATACAATTTTTATTAAACGTTTAAAAAATTTAATAGACTGCCTACAGACATTAAAAAAAAAACAAATGTATTCAAAAGTAACCTCAAACAATACTTGATAAATAAACAGAACGGATATAATTTCTTGTGATAATACTCTTTAAACCTGCCCTTTTTAAGTATTTCCCTTAATTTATTGTTATTTTACTCATCGTTTTTTTCGCATTTATTATAAATTATTTATGTTTTGAGATAATGTACTTTATTTTAAAAAATTACTTGATGTTATATAAAAACTACTTACTATGTTTAAATTATTAATAGTTTTGCGACTATAGGTTATAGTAACTTATAGCCACAAAACTATTTTTGTGTTAAAGTAGATCCATAGAAAGCAATGTAATTTACAAAGTCATTCTTTCAACATACAAATAAATGACAACTTTATAATTAAAATGAAAAACACAACAAAATACCTCGGTATCATAATTGATCAAAATTTGAAATGGGTTGATCACATTACGTCATTAAAATCCCAAGGTAAGAAGATTCATTTTTAAATTTTATGAATTGAGGAAATTTATGACTAGGAGTTTACTAATTATTTACAATTCGCTGGTTGAATATGTAATCCAAAATCGTATAATTAAAATTATCTACAAAAAACCAGCATTATATCCTACCTCTCTTTTATATAATAAAAAAGTGCTTTGTATAAGAACATTATATTATCTGTCTTGCTGTACCTTTATTTATGGAAAGCCTGAATTGAGATACACTACAAATTATTTGCAATAAATATCAAAAGAAGCATACATTTTTAAATAATTTGACATATAAGAGTCATTCACACATCACAGTTGACATCGTGATACTTGACAGGCACAGCAAAGCGTTAGTCTGATTTTTTCCAAATTAAATGGCCGGTTAATTATTCTATGGGGTGGCGACAGAGAGCCAGTAAATTTGATAAAGGTGTTTTTTTGTGGCTAGGGACCAAATAGTACTAATACTAAAACTAGTATAAGTTAGCACCACCATAAAAAAGTCATTTTTAAGAAACTGTGACTAATGTCGAATAAAAATAGCCTCCAAAATGGCTATGGTTGCAAGTATGAAGATCGCAACCCGCCTTAGAAATTTCACCTTTACTATCAACAGCTGTTGTTTGACAGGTCATTAGAGAATGTTTGCAATTAATTGAATGTTAAGAATGTTAGGAATGTTGACGTTAGAAATAATTGGAATTCCTAAAATTGTCACATAAGAAATACATTTTAAGAAAATTGATATTAAAGTAGTTAGGATGAACCGAAAATTCTGAAAATCAATAGGGTTATAAGTTAGAAGTAATTATTCAAGAAAATCAAAATCGCAAGTCAATCAGAACTTTCGTTTTAGAGTTATCGTGCCGGCATACATACACACAGACGATCAGACGAAATTTTTTTTTTGCATTTTCGGACTCAGAATGATCGGAAACATAAAAAAAAGTTTTAAAAAGTGGGGGTAAGAAATTTTTTTCGTCTGCACGAACTCAATACTGAGGCCCCATAGGAAGGGCCTAAGTAATAATCTTCTTTCCTTTGTTAAAACTTTACCCAACATTCAATATTTCCCTTCTGACTTTTTTCAAATTTATTTCTGACAACCAACAAAAAACAAAATCATCCCTTCAAATTCCCATAACATTATTTTTTTTTAAACTGGATATTCTTTTCATTTTATAGACTTCAAACAACCCGCTTTGCTAAATAAAATTTAAAGTTGAATTTTTTGGTTTGTGAAGCATTAGCATTAATTAGGTTAAACCATGTGATGATTTCCATAAGCCTTGATTTTTAAAACCATTCTATATCGCCTTTTGATTAAGGTTTACAAACTTGTTTGAGCAATTTATCCAATAATAATTGGCCCCTTTACCTCTTAAGCCTGCTCATGTAAAATATTTGGGCTCCTAACTTCGCCTGTTCATATATTAATAAAGGACAGAAGGATGAGTATTGCAACTATGTTAAAAGAAATAAATTGGCTTTCAGTTCAGAATTATGTTCAGTACATGACTGATATTTATTTATAAAATAAAAATGACATAGTACCATCGCATCAGATCTATTAGAAAAAATTCAATATAATTCGCAATATCACAACTATAATACAAGAAGTCAATCTGACTTTCATGTACGGCAAGCCATCACTAAAAGTTCCCAAAATACAATTTTTATTAAAAGTTTAAAAAATTTAATAGACTGCCTACAGAAATAAAAAAAAAAACAAATGTATTCAAAAGTAACCTCAAACAATACTTAATAAATAAACAGAACGGATATAATTTCTTGTGATAATACTCTTTAAACCTGCACTTTTTAAGTATTTTCCTTCATTTATTGTTATTTTACTCATCGTTTTATCCGCATTTATTATAAGTTATTTATGTTTTGAGATCATGTACTTTATTTAAAAAAATTACTTGATGTTATATTAATACTACTTACTATGTTTAAATTATTAATAGTTTTGCGACGATAGGTTATAGCAACTTATAGCCACCAAACTATTTTTGTGTTAAAGTAGATCCATAGAGAGCAATGTAATTTACAAAGACCTTCTTTCAACATACAAATAAATGAAAACTTTATAATTAAAATAATAAACAGAACAAAATACCTCGGTACCAAGGTAAGAAGATACATTTTTAAATTTTATTTATTAAATAAATTTATGACTAGAAGTTTACTAATTATTATTTACAATTCGCTGGTTGAATATGTAATCCAAAATCTTATAATAAAAATTTTCTACAAAAAAAACCAGCATTATATCCTACCTTTGTATAAGAACATATTATCTATCTTGCTGTACCTTTATGGAAAGCCTGAATTAAGATATACTACAAATTATTTGCAATAAATATCAAAAGAATTATACATTTTTAAATAATTTGACATTTGACATTTAAGAGCCATTCACACATCACAGTTGACATCTTGATACTTGACAGGCACAGCCAAGCATTATTCTGATTTTTGCCAAATAAAATGGCCGGTTAATTATTCTATGGGGTTGCGACAGAGAGCCAATAAATTTGATGAA